TTCATTCTGTTCATTTCAGCTTCCTTCTGTTCATTTCAGCTTCCTTCAGCTCCTTTCAGCTTCCTTCTGTTCATTTCAGCTTCCTTCAGCTCCTTTCAGCTTCCTTCATCTACTTTCAGTTTCCTTCAGCTTCTTTCAGCTTCCTTCTTTTTATTTCATTTTCATTTCATTTCTTTTATTTATTTCTATAGCTCTTTACACAACCACGTGATGGTGACCAAAGCGCTTAACAAAAACAGCAATTAAAATGACGACAAGTTAAAACAAGAAAAACACAATAAAATAACAAAAAGAGAATCAGAAATGTCATCACATATTTAAGTACTAAAAGCCTGTTGGAATAAAAAAGTCTTAAGCTTCGATTTAAAAGGGCCAAGTTCAGTAATCTGACGTAGATGAAGTGGGAGCTTATTCCAGAGTCGAGGTGCAGCCGCAGAAAAGGCACGGTCACCCCAGCGTTTATATTTTGTCCTTGGAACAGAGAGCTGGAGCTGTCTGACCTCAGAGACCTGGAGCAGATGGGGAAACTTAACAACTCTGTTCTATAAAGGAGGAGCGAGGCCATTCAGAGCTTTAAAAACAAATACAAGTTTAACATCTATTCTAAAACGGACAGGAAGCCAATGTAGTGAAAGTAAAACAGGTGTGATGTGGTCCCGTCTAGGTGCAGCTGCTGCATTTTGAACCAGCTGGAGACGGCTCAGTGATGACTGACGTACACCGACATACAGAGCGTTACAATAATCAAGCCTAGAACTGAGAAAAGCATGAACAGCCTTCTCCAAGTCTCAACATTCAAAAAGGGTTTGACCTTTTTTTAAAAGGCATAAATAAAAATATCCAGACTGGACAACAGAGGTGACATGTTTGTCAAAGTGTAAAGCCTTACCAAAGGTCACCCCAAGGTTTTTCACACAGTCACTGAAGTTAGTGTTCAAATTACCCAGGCCAGTTGCATCTTTGGTTGTTTTCACACCTGATAGTCCGGTAGACTCGGTTCGGTTGGGGACCAATATTCATGACCTTTTGTTTACATTTGAGCTGGTGCATTTGCATTCACACTGCACTGAGCAGTCGAGCCAACCTGTTCGAACCAACCTGTTCCCCCGCTCGCCTGTGGGGGCGCTGCACCAAGAACTACTGAAAGAAACAACACAAAAACCTCTGAAGCCACTTCTTCTTCTTCTTCTTCTTCTGGAAATAAAAACAAAAACTGAGTGGAATCAAGTTTTAGCAGTTTCAGGAGTTATATTTTGTCATTTCTCAAAAATGGACTCCGCATGAGCAGAAGATGAGGCAGAAGACCACGGAGAATATGTTTTTCACACAAGGCAGCTGACGGCTCCATATGAGGTCAGAGAAATGTGTGTTTGTTTGCCCTGCGCTGTACCTCACTTCTTATTTGTGGAGCGGGACCCGGTCTGTTTACATTCACACTGTGCTCGAACCGCGCTGGAGTTCTCTTCTACCGGACCGAGACCTAGGTTTTATCCCAGGCCAGAGTTCGTCGTTTTGTTCCGTGACAGAGTTCGATGGCGCGTTCACACCTCCCCAAATGAACCAGACTTTCTAGGAAAACGAGCTAGAGTTCGATTAAAGCGGACTAAACAGGGCTGGTGTGAATGCACCCTAAGTCACCAAATAAAGTCCATTCTGTTTTATTGTCATTTAAAAACAGGAAGTTCTTGTTTAGCCAATGTTTGATTGCAGAGATGCAATCAAAGAGAGAAAGCATTGGGTTACGGGATCCTGGCCTTAATGGTAAATAGTTTTGCAAATCGTCTGCATAAAAATGAAAATTGACATTGTGCTGTCTTATAATTGATCCAAGTGGCAACGTGTACAAGGAAAAGAGCAAAGGGCCCAGAATGGAACTCTGGGGCACCCCACACAGAAGAGGGGCTGTAGAGGAAGAGGAGCTATTGAGCAAGACAAAGAAGGTTCTGTTAGATCAATAAGATGTGAACCACTTCAGAGCCTTAGAGTTTGAGCAGAAGAAATAGTGGAGAATAAAAGTTTTATTTATGACAGATCAAGTGTTTAGAAGGGCCATCTGGATGGCGCACTGGCTGTTATCCTGGAATGTGCGGCCAAAGGAGTGGAGGTTCTCCTGAACCCTGCCACGCTTACAGAACTTTGCACGCTGAAGACCAGGAAGTGTGCCGCCGCTGGTGTCCTTATCCGTCCTTATCCATGACGCATAGCCAGTTATAAGAATATTCCATGGGGTATCGTATGTCAATAAAGTTGTATTTCCTGAGAATCCTGCACGAAGACTGGAATGAAGAAGAGGCGAAGTGAGCGCAGAGTTTCACAAGCAACCCACCCCTCTTGCAGCGTCTCCTGCGGCAGCGCCTGCTGCGGGCAATCACAACACAAGGATTCCATAGAAATGGAAGTATTGATGCCAGGTGAGGTGGAGGAAGTCTTTGATTGCCCATAAAGGTCACGAAACGGTACTTTTCCCATAATATAATTAATATAAAAAAGTGTCTGGCGGTCATAAGTAAACAGTGGTGACACAATCTACTATTTTTGGTTAGATGGTGCCTGTGTTCCTGGCTTGCAATCCACCTCTGCTGACGGTGTTCGGATTACTTGTGTTTTGCTTGTTTTTCATCTGGGACATAAACTCGCTACTGGTGTATGATCGACAACAGCTTCTGGATCTTCGATTTTGTGCCACCGATGTCGCTTATTTGGATCAATATGAGCGTAACGCTGGAAACCCCCCCCCCCTTTCCCCCGCTGCTGGCGGATGTGCCTGTTTACCTTCACTGCACTCCTCACCTGCCTGACTGGAGATATCGCTCCAGACGCCGAGGAAAACACGCTGGCCAGTTGGTAAAGATTAAAGCCCTGCATGCTGCATCTTCCTCTCCAGCTGGTGGTCATGGTTTCCATTGCCAGCTTCCCGTGCATCCGGACCAGGTAAACAATGGGAGTTGTTGGCTGGAACGGTGCACGGGCCGACTTGGAGGGGCTGTTATTGAAAATCTGTGGCCGCTGGCTCGTGCTCCCTCCACCATTACTGGGTCTGCCTTGGAAAGTATCAGGATGTGTGTGGTCAATGCAAGATCTGTTACCAACAAAACTTTTATCCTCAGGGATTACTTTCAAGAGCACGATTTGGACTTTCTCTGCATCACAGAGACTTGGATGTCTCCAGGTGAGTCCAGCACCTTGACGGAATTAATGCCTCCGAACTGTCTGTATTTAAGCCGGTGCAGTGGTGGATTATTAACAATATTCAAATCGACTTTTGACTGTGAACAACTGCCCATCCCAGTTTCCCACGCCAGCTTTGAGCTGTGCGTCTTTGAACTCGGTCATTCGCCTTCGACTTTATGTGCACTCGTCTACCGCCCAACTCAATCTAAGGATTTCATAAATGAGTTTTCTGATTTCTTGGCTGAAATCACACCAAAATACGATCATGTTTTCATTATTGGGGATTTTAATTTGCATGTGTGCTGTCATGAGAAGCCCTTGGTTAAGGATTTTTTAGATTTATTGGACTAATTTAATCCAAGTCAGCATGTAAACGGTCCCACCCAAGAGTGCAGGCACACACTGGACCTTGTTTTAACACATGATGTGACTGTTAGTATTCTTGAAATTGGTGATAATGTGTTTTCAGACCACATGCCAGTCTGGTTTGAGTTCACATCTCCCGTCTAACTCCTAAGCTGTGCACTCCTGCACATAGTAGCCGGGCCATTAACCACTTCACTGCCGCATGTTTCACAGATGTTTGTAACTCTGAAATGATAATTCAGCCCCTGGTGTTTCTCACCCCCACTGAAGAGCTGACATCCCAGTTCAACTCTGTCTGCGTAAAGGCTCTGGATCATGTTGCTCCTGTAAAAACTAGAAAATCGAAACTCAGATCAGAACCTTGGCTGAATAACATCACCAAAGCCGTTAAACAGCAGTGCAGGAGGGCGGAGCGCAAATGGAGGAAAGACAGGCTGCAGGTCTCTTTTCTAATACTAAAAGAGAGTTGGCGTCGTTATCAGAAAACAGTAAAAGCTGTCACGATCCTCAGTGTTGGAACCCAAATGCAGAGAGGCGAGCGAGGCAGGAGTTCAAAAACAAAAACAATTTATTTCAATAACAAAACAAAAAGCTGTCGGTGCAGCAAAACTTACTTGGGCAACAGGATCAGGAACAAGGCAAAGCAGATGATCAGGTGGACAAGAAACAGACAAGATAGAAGAGGACTGAGATGTCTGTAAACACAGAACAATCACCGGACAAAAAGTGAAGGAGAGACAGGCTTTTTATGAGACAGAGGGAGAGTGAGTAACGAGAGCACCTGGGCAGGTGTCTGATGAGGGACAGGTGTGAATGATAAAGATTGAGTGGAGAGGCAGACTGAGGAGTGAGTGGAGAATAACAGAATCAGATAAACAGAAAATCACACACAGAGCAGAACAACAAAAA